TTTGTTCTATCTCTCTGATTTTCAAATTTATGAATGAACATAATATTCACATTGGGTCCGTCTAGTAAAACTGCTTTAAAAAAAAAAAACTTTCATATTTTCTTATACTCTAGTTACCATGTTATTTCTTACACTTTGAGCCCTGAAGATGATCTAAATTAAGATCGAAACGTTGGCACGATAAAAAAATGTTTTTCTAAAACCTACGTCACACCAGACCGCATCTCACTATCTCCAAATAATCATCGACTAACGGTCACTAATCACCACACGTTATTTCTTACATGCAAATTATCTATTGAATCAAAAATAAGTCGGACATCATCAAAGTTAAGCAAGTTGGCACCATTCCACTTTCAGGGATAATAATTAAACCCTATTTCCTTTTCACGAGGAACTTAAAAAAACCAACAGTAACGTTTTGGCTAGGGCGTAAATCGGAATTCGGTTGATGTGGCTATATTTGTCCACTTGGTAACAATGTGTTACGCTTCAAAGGAATATTGGGGAACACCCAACCTAAGACAGAAATACTCATTGGGGATCTTTCTCATCTGGCCAGAATCCTCTATTTACGGAACAAACGATTTCACTAACAAGTCATCACCTCGATCTCTTTCTCTGCCTAGTTGGGCTTCCATTTTTCATCCTTGTATGATAAATACGCTTGGCAATCAGTTGCCATAACATATTGCCGAACAATATTTGGACGTTTTTTATGTTTTAAACATCTGCCAAATTGGCTGAACTAAGATCTTTGTCTAGAAAAGAAGAGATTTTGAATTTTTAATTAGCCTGAAAAAATAAACACATTAAGAATGCTAGTGTAAGAAACACATCTTAAATTCTAATAAACCACAATTTGTTTTTACAAAGAATATTCACAAATCAACCTTTATTTTCATTTATGTTCAAGCCAGTCTAAATAATCAGTTGAATCTCAAAGGAGAGAAAAGTTTAAGATTTCAAACCTGAGTGTGATAATTGTTGGTTGGCAGGGTCTTTTGTGACCCCATCAATATTGACCACCTTTTGCCAAACCCACCTGGGTATATACATCACATTATCTCCGCTTATCAGCTTTTGCGAGCGAGCTCCACCCCAACTTTGCCCACTAATGATTTGACACACCGTTTTGTGGTGTGATGTAAAGTTCCGAGGTGTTCCCAGGTAGTGGCACAAATTGACGTCCAATTAGCATGGAATACCCTTCCTGGAAATTTTCTACCTGTCTCCAGCAGGTCACCTAATTAATACCTGCTTTCATTCAGGGCCCGTGGAGGAAACAGTAAATTTGGACGCCGAGATAGAGCAGTCATCCACAATTGATTATTTATACGGAGGTTCAAGGTGAACAGGAAAAAACACATAAAGGGAATCAAAGCGTGTCCTTATTAATTTACCAAAAAAACCTAAACTGCCCTAGATAATTCATAACCCTTTATCCGACCACGTGTTCGTTAACCGTGTTATTATGTAAAACTGTCGTTTTCACCCTGCTTCAATGCTCGTGAAATAACTTTATTATACATTTGTATACAGGAAACACCTAACAAATGAATCAGCTTTGGTACGCAGTTTGATTAGGCTTTCTAACATTTCTATCAACTCCATTATGTTTAATGGTCTAATTGACAAAATTACTTCTTTCAATTAATTATTATTTTTATGTATGGTCTTGGTTGAGATGAAAAAGTTAATACCACGAGCGGATTCGAACCCACGACCTTCGGCTCAATACGCCGCTTTTCTAACCACTTGAGCTATCGTGATTTCGAAAGTTTCTATTAACGTTGAATTTAAATAAAATCCAGAGGTGCCATGAATTTTTAAGTGAAATTCCAGACATCTGCGAGAGAGAAAAAATAGCACCCGAATTTGCAATGAAAATTTGTATTTAAGAGGTTTAAAAGCTGCCTAAAACGAATCCGAATTGTGTTTTTGACATAAATCATTTTTGGCTTTCTTAACTGAAAACTTTTTTCAATTTTTGTAATTTTTTATATAGCAAATCTCATTAAAACGATCCTGCATATTATTTTCTTACCGTAGGTACATTTTTTTTTTTAAATCGTCATATATAATATCCTTAAAGACATGCACAATAAAAACAGAGGAAATCCACATTTTAACACAATTTCTCGGCTCATTGACAAGAATACCTGTCTGATATTTTTTGTTTAGTTTTATTTATTTTTTATTTTAAAGGTACAAATAGTGCTTTAAGCCCCCTTACATTTACACATATTAGCATAAATTAAGCTTTAGAAACATAGTAAAATAATAATAGCAATAATACATACAATAAAATTTACAAAACAATAATGACAATAATATATTCTTTAAAATATTATTTTTAATCGAATGATAAAACCACATTAAGAAAGAAAAGCAGAAAGAGAAAAAAAAGGAAATGGAAGTAAGAAAAGGAAGATGCCATGGACCTGAAACAAGCCAGCGAGGAAGCAGACCGTACTTCCCAGGGAAGCAAATTCCATAGTTTTGACCCTGCAATTCTGAAGGATAAGGCTAAAAGGTTTAGAAAAGTGGTAAATTGCAGAAAAATGGCAAAAAGGAGGGAAAATTCAACAGGTTGTAGGTTGAGCTGGGAAGTTGATGTGCGAGTTGATCGAAGTCACGATAGCTCAAGTGGTTAGAGCGGCGACGTATTTAGCCGAAGGTCGTGGGTTCGAATCCCGCTCGAGACAATGACTTTTTCATTTCAACCTAGATGTTACATAAAAAGAATAATTAATAGAAAGTTTAGAAGAGTGTTGAAGGCATGGGATAGGATTGGTGCGTTTGGATAATTGATGAGGGAAAATTGTCGATAGATATTTAGGACATTTATTTGATAGATTGTTTAAATATATATATATATATATATATATATATATAAACGCTAAGTTTATAAGTGTGTAGAATATTAAGGTTGCTGAAGACGTTAATGTAGGATAAAATATGATCCGTTGGCTTAAGATCGTAACAGTATCTAATGCAGAAATGGTAAACAATTTGAAAGCGATGAGCAGTTTGAGGGTCATGCAGAAAAGTGAAAAAACAGCGCTACAGTAAGAGAATAAAAGAATTACTAGGTATTTAATAAGGGAAACTCCAGTTTTCTGTGGAATGGAAAAGCTAAGGCGTCGAAGAGAATGGAGGCTTGAGTAGATCTTTTTGATAATAGAGCTCGCATGGTCATGTCATGTAAGCTTGGAGTTAAAAATAAGGCCGAGATTTTTTAACTTTAGGACAAAAATTAATAGGGGAGCCGTTGATATGAGGTGATAGGCAATCTGTACTGACGGTTTATTGGAAATTAATAAGGACTGGGATTTGTTAGGGTTTAATGCCGTTATTCATCGACCATTGGGTGAGAGAATGAAGATCACGGTTGAGCAGAGCAATTGCTTCAGAGTTGTTGCTTCTAAGACAAATGTAAATATGAGTGACATCTGGATAAAATTAGAACTAATCCTTTAGAAACTTGGAAAAGAGTAAAGGTCCAAGAATAGAGCCTTGGGTTGCACAAGGTGAAATTGAGAGGGAAAAGGAGATAGAATTTGAAGCATTAACTCTCTGAGTTCAGATAGGAGGAAATGTGATTAGTAGCAGTAGAAGAAAAACCGAAGTTTCAAAATAAGCAAATTATGACTTACGGAGCCGAATGCATTGGAAATATCAAGTAGAAAAATAATACTTATTATCATCAATGCCTAGGCGAATACCATCTGAGATGTTGAGGGTTGTCACACGACTATTAACTTTTCGAAAGCCAGATTGAAAAGCGGATATAAGGACATGGGAGTCAATAAATAATGATATTTATTTACATAAAATCTTCTCAAATGTTTTGGATAGTGATGGAAGAATACTAATGGTGCGATAGTCACTAGCACTAGGTTCAGGTTTCTTGGTTATTGCACCTATTAGGCTACAACTATTACGTAACTATTATGCTTAGTAATTAACTTTATTTTAGTAGTTTAAGTTTCATTAAAATCGATAATTGCAAGTGTGACGACTACGGTATAACTTGAATTACGCCAGGATGACTATTTTTCAATATTTTTTGTTATAGCATAGTTAATAAATTCTCAATAATGGAGATGACTGCGCGAAATTTTGCGCCAGATGGACAACTATTACGATAGAGGAATTCACATGTGAACGACATTAGATTTCAATAAAAATAAAAACAGTTAAGGAATAATAATGATGCTCCTTTTATCATTGGCATGCAGCTTCAATTAATACTTGGATATACTGATGGTTGGTGAAGATATGGCAGTAACCAGGGTACCAAGGCGTTCTTCAGCAAGATTTTGAAAATATTTTCTTCTGACAGTCCCATAACTTCAATTCATCTAAATTTCAACTAATTAAACGCTTCAACAAAATTCTTTTAATTTTTCTAGGACGCCGACATGTTGTACATTCAAACTATTTTCTAAAACACCAAGGAAAAGTCTTAAATATAACAAAAATTGGACAATCCATTAAAAAGAAAAACAAAGACAACAACAAAAAAAACTAAGGAATGTTGGACACCTATGCTTGGCCACGTTCAGAAATCTAAAAGACATCAGTTTTCTTTTTATTTATATTTTATTTATTTATTTATATGCAAACAGATAAACACGACATCAAGGACAAACAAGTCGAAATTGTTTATCTGTGAGAATTAAATTTTCAAAAAACATAAAAAAATCAATATTTTCTATGAGTCTTGAAATGCAGAATTTTCTACAATAGCTGCATATTAAAACAATACATATGACACATATTTAAATAAATACTAGTGTTGAACACTAAATCTAATTTTTCTTCAGAAAAAAAAACACAAAATCAAGAAATATTCTAACCATAAATAACATAATTGATTGTTGGAATATGGCCTGGAGTATTTTACTGATGGAGTTTTGTTTTTCTTACTTTGTCGATATTTAATTTTTTTAAATATATATTTAAAAAACATCTGTAAGAAGTTAATAAATTGCCATTATCTTCCGAGAATTGTTTTTATTTGATGCTCACATAGTCTAGCCGTTGGTGAGCCGTAGAAATTATTTTCGACTTTCTGTGATCATGTGGGTGTTGAAATTGTTTTAGATGTGACAATTATGTTCTGTGTAATGTTCTTTCACTTTTTAAGTTAGTAATTGTGCCAAAGTATTTTACGACGCAAAACTTAATACATTTATAAAGAAACGGATGTACAAGTGAGTAGTTTACTTTTAAACTTATCTTGTAGAGTAAACAGGATTTTTTCGAGATTTGGCACCCTTGGAACCCGCAAAAATTAATTGTTATGGGTGATTGATGGTTAGATTCTTAGACCCAGCTTACGTCCCCGTTTTCTATTAGCTTTTGTTGAAACCCTCGAAAATTCGAGCAATTAGGTGGTAGCTATTGTGTTGAAAAGCGGTCGCCATTCATACATGCAGAAAGGGTTAGAAAAACAGCACAGCAGGACAACCCACGGGGTGGCGGTTGTTAAGCCCTTTATTTATTTATATTTGCTACCCCCTTGTCTTTGCTTCGGTGGATTCCATTGTCAAATAAATCCGTCAACACATGCCAATTGATTCGGTACAATTATACTCTGACCGCGGCCTGCACAAAGGCCTTCCTCTGTGCTTTTGAAGAGCACAAAGCCCCCTTCTAATAATTATTTCCATTTGTTATTAACGGAATAATGTCAAACGACATTGATCCAAGGGAATTCCGACTGGCGCTATTCATATTAACTTAATATATACATTTTTTAAATGATTTTTTTGGAGAAATTTCTCATTTCTTTACTGTTCAAAAACATAGGAGATAAATCTGGGATTGATTTTGAAATTTTGATATTTACGTTTACCATACCATGTTTTACCAACCATGAAACCTCTTATATTTGGGAAAAACAAGCTTTGTGTTACGTATGAATGTTTATTTGTTGTATTTTTTCTGTTGCAGTTCTGCACATATGCCCCTTGACGAGGCGAAGTTGTTGATCCTTATAAAAGAACTGATGAGAATCAATGCTTGCCAGTTGAATTTTCAAGACATAATAGACCAAGTTTTCGAAAACCCTTTTAACATACAGCAGCTGAGCGTCTCGCTCGATGAAGCCGCTTCTCAGCTTGCTAAGAGGAGCAGGAACAGGCGCCGATTCCTCAAAATAGTCCAATCCCTCAAAAGGAGAAACGTGTCTTACGTCTTGTTTCAATTCCTCAAGATGTTGATGTTACTTTTGCCCGAAGACGAAACGTCGAAAGCTGGCTCCAGCTCTGAATGTTATATCATGAATCAGATAGCGTCTTCCAGCACGGACAGCTCTCCGTTCAGCACACTCGGAGCGATAGGGAATCGGTCGTTATCTGCCAACTGGGACTTTGCAGACAACTATATTTTAATAGACCGGCTAGCGTACGAGTCGCCGGCCGCTCAAGAGAAACAGTTGATCGAAGACCTGCTGAATGCCTTCTTCGGCTGCAGCGGAGTTTATATCAAGCCGAATCCCCTTGAAAACCGCAAAAGCGTGAGGACTTTTCGAATCAGCGACAACCTCTGCCCTTCGTTAAAAGCGATCGCTGAAAAACTGCTGCCACTCGCGTCATATTATTCCAAGATAATCAGGTTCGTACAGGACAACCAGGAACTGCACTGCGGTAGGGTGAATCAAGCTTTGGCCGATCATTTAAACGAGTACCTCCTACGCTTTTCCCAACTGGTCCTCCAGTTAGAGGATAGTTTTTTTGAAGGGAGCTTAAGACTGACCCATCTGTGGCTGACTTTGACAGAAAGTATCGATATTCTGAAAGTTTTGAACAACATCGTTTCCTGGGTCGACGAGTCCAGAGGCGGTGAAACGCTGTCCGCCCTCCACGAAGGTGTTCGGAAATCCATGGCAGATCCAAACGCTCAGAACATAAGCTGCTCGGCCACAGTGGCTGCTTCTCGTCCATTTCTTGAATCGCTTACGACTTGGATAAAAAAAGGAATCATTTTCGACCCGTACCATGAGTTCATGATTGTGAGAGACCAACGCGCCAGGTATTCCAACGATTGGGACAACGTTTTCAAATGCGACCTCGAGTGTACACCGTCGTTTTTGCTGACCGTTCACAACAGCATCCTCATCGCTGGTAAATACCGAGATGCTATAAGAAAATGCGAATTTGATAAAAATCAACCGGAGTCCATTCTCGAAAACATGGCCTACGACTTTTTGAACCCTAAATATTTAGAAATCATCGAACAGTCTTGTGTCTCGGCTAGAAAGTGTTTCATGAATCTTCTCATCAACGATTACAAAATACTTACAAGACTCAGAACGGCCAAAGCCCTTTACACGTTGGAATTCGGAGATTTGTTTTACAACATAATCGAAAATTGCCTAGAGGAACTTAACAGGCCTTACAAAGAAATAAGCACCGCCTACTTGCCAGCTCTCACTTTCAACAGCATCGAAACATCCTCGGTCCGGGGGCTGCCGTTTTCCGACCAAGCGATATTGTATCTAGAGAAACGGTCGATACTGTGCCGGATGAACAGTTTCTGCAAGGCCAAAAGCGACAACAGCACTTCCGAAGATGGGCTTTCCGGTCTGGACGCGATCACGCTCAAAATGAAAAACGACTGGCCCGTCAACGCGATCCTCCACGACTCGTCGATAAAAAGCTACCAATTGCTGTTCCGGCATTTGTTTAAAATCCACTACATCTATACCAATTTGTCCAAAGTCCATTTGAAAGCTTACGAACTCACAAAGCACCAATGTTATCTCAAACACTCCATGTTGGTCTTCGTCTCGAACTGCCTTTCTTACATGACGCAAGAGACGATAGAAGTCTACTGGACCAACTTTTGCAACGCTTTCAACCAGTTTAACTACGTCGAAGAGATCAGGTCCGCTCACGACAACTACCAGTATCTGTGCATGGGAAGCTGTCTACTCACCTCGGCGGACCACTACTCAAAGCTGTCTCGTATTTTGGACGTCTGCACGGCGTTCACTGAAGACTGTTCCGTCGAACACGAGGCGGAATTTATCGAGGCTTTGGACGACCTGGTCACAGCCCTTTGCAGAGAGACGAATCCGATTCTGCAGAATTTCGCCTCCCTCCTTTCTCCGATATTTTACCACTATGATCCAGCTTTCAATCCGAACTGCGAGGGACCCGAAACGACCAACACTTTGGAAGAGCGTTGAACTACACTAAACCTCAACAATTTGTTTCTAGAAATTTTTAAAAATTGGCTACCTAAAAATAGGCTAAATAAACGCTCCAACGTGTTAACCTACCCTCTAACTAGAGGGCCAAACTAAATAAACATTTTTCCAATTTAAAGAAATCACATGCTTTTGCTTCTTTTTGTTTCAAAATACTTCTACAACCGATTTGTTCACGATTTATCAATATTTCTGACAAAAAAAAGCATATGTTTATCGAACAAAGTAGTTTACTAAAAGGCTATTGCAAGACAATTATTTATAAATGAAATTCTGTTAAATGTGTAGCTTAATTATATCTTCCCTGTCTGCCTAACAGACAAAACTAGCAAAAAAAGGACCAGGTGTACAAAGATGTTCTCATCACCTTGCTAAACTCACCACAATGCTTAACAAAGTTGGCTCAAATGATTAAATATTTTGCCATACAAAAATATTATTGAAGGTTGTTAAATATTAAAACAGAATTTTTTTTTACACGGCATTTGAAAAATGGCAAAAAGGAGGGAAAATTCAAAAGGTGGGGTTGAGATAGGAAGTTAGTGTCCGAGTGGATCAAGGTCACGATAGCTCAAGTGGTAGAGCAGCGGCGTATCTAGCCGAAGATCGTGGGTTCGAATCCCGCTCGTGCCATTGACTTTTTTATCTCAACTAAAAACCTTAATTAATTGTTAAAACAGAATGTTAAGAAAATGACATATACACAGATTAAGAATAAATGAAATTTCTATTCGAAGTTTATTCAATATTAGTCTACATAATTTTATGAAATACTACTAAAAAGAGTTACTTTTTTAAGCTCTTCTTCAGTGTTCTAGTTGCTTTTGAATGTAAACTAAAGTCAGTGAAACAAATTAGGATTGAAATGTTGTGACATTAATATGATCAAAGGTATTCAACTAATTTTTGAAATTTATTGCTGAAAAGAAGGCTATTAACCACTATAGTTAATATGGGATTTTATTACTTCTAACTAGTGATTAATAAGGTCAACTCTGCACACATTTGTTATTACTTGCAGGTGTGCAGAATCGAACTTTTGACTTGCCACAAGAATCATCTACCTCAGGTTTTAGCAGTACGAAGTCAGACCTCTGTCTTATATGTCACATCAAAGTTAGGCTCCAGGCTGATGACAGGACATTTCAACACCCAACGCATGTTTTTTTTCCTATTTACATACAGTTCACTAATCTAGGGTGGAGTACTCGGCCAACTATTCTAATTGAGATTTGAAGGGTACTCAATATTCTACTATCAAACCTCTCACTCTATAAATCGGAACAGAGGACCCATGTATTCACACAATTCTCTTATCAGGCGGCATTCCTACTCACTCTCTAAATTGAACCAGTGGAATGTCACCCTTCAATTATGCTATATTCAGCAACCTTTCTCTAAACGCATCACATATGAAGGCTTTGGTCCAAAAGTAAATGTCCTTGTGTCAACCTCGCATGGCCTATTCTTAATCGGGTGAGGATCACCACCCTCTTCTAAGAGAATATTTTTAAAATATAAAATTGATTTATATATAAAATCATGAAAATTAAAAGCTATATAAAAATAAGGGCTTCTTTTTTTAATTAGAGGTTTTTTATTCTAGATTTTTAGAAGTGTCTGTTTGTCACCTCGCAAGGACTATTCTTAGTTGGTTTGGTACGATCCTTCTTCTTCAATTCGGATCTTCCAAGGGCCAACTATCAAGGAGCTCTTGATATGTAGAAGCTTCTCTGCCAATAGAGCCCTCCAACACGTCTATTTTCTTTGAATAAAGTTTTTAAATCACATTTATTCAATTTTAGTGTCAGAGGACCATATTTCACTAGTTAAGTTTGAAGGTTTTTTTCATTGCCTACAGAACCTATGTATCTGGGACCAGATAACCTCTAACATTTTGCCAAGTTCAGAGTACCGGTACAAAAAGAGCACGGAGGGCTATTACTTTTGACATGGCTTTGACCACGTTTGTACTTTTAAGTTCTTACTGCTGGAATTTTGTTAATCAGTTCGATCAGTTTTATAAAATAAAAGCAAACTGCAAAGTAAAAATACTTCATGATGAAAGTTTTATTTACAATTTAATTACTCAATTCTTTAAAGTTAGTATAAAGTAGAATTTTAAAAGGTTCGCATGCATTACTAAGAATTTCATTATTTTTAGAGGTAGATCTGACAGTACAACTAACGGACTAATCACTAAAAACTACTAAAGCCGGCATGAATATGCAGGCAATGATCAGAACTGGTCAAAATTATCTCATTTTATAAAAGCGCAGAGTCTCTCTTTCACGTTATACACTGATGCTCTAGCAAAATTAACTATTTTAACACTGAAATATAAATCTGATCATTTTGGTCTACTTATTTTGATGGTTTTCCACATTATTTTTCAAACATCGAGTTAACAATACTTTAGTCAAGTAGCGTGTTACAAATGAGTAAAAAGTGTGGGGCTGAAGATCCAGCATTGAGGGCCTTGCAAATAAATTGAATGAGGTAGATAAAAACTATCTATTTTGCTAAGTTGAACTATTTCCACTAGCAACATACTGGAAACTTGAATTTTAGTCATTTTCTATTTTTAGGTTAACCCGAAACATCTGATTATAGTCATACAGCTTTATATAGTATTTATTGTGTTTTAATTATGTATAACTCAAACTTGCTAATTAGATTTTTTTATAATTTGTCTATGAAATAGATTTCTCTTTAAATAAGATTCTCCTAGAGTTGAGGTTTACAGCGCCATACCACCATATGAGTTTCTGATTAAATATTTGTATTGTAAAATGTAAGCTATAAATTATATATTTTAAGTTAACAATAAGCCAAATAAATATTAAATTATATCTAATGATATAAAAGCATAGTTTTCATGATTATCTTTTTTTTAGATTATTTGGCTGTAAACAATATAATGGTTCAATTAAAACTTTTAAAAAAAACAGAAGCCATACACTAAATGTAAAAACTTTTTAGATTTTTATTAATTGTTTCATATTATAAAATTTTAATTAAGGTAAAAGCAATATATCATAGATTGCTTTAACTTCATAATAAATAAGTGAAAAAAATTAACAGTACCAAAAATCGTAAAGTCCTGCAAAAGATTTTTTTCTTTTACCCAAATACTAGAAATCTGTTAGAGGACTTTGAACTTTTAGCAATTCTCTCAGTTCAGGATTTAAGTAGGGCACATCCTCATCCTTAATGATGCCTGCAGGTAAAAATCCGATGAGATGGGGAATGTGCTCATTTATCATTCTCCTTCTCTCCTCATTGACCTGTCTTATGCTGAAATTAATAAAACAAAACAATCATTAGAATCAATAAAAAACAAAAATATAAATACACGATCAAGTCTAATCAAATCAATCACTTTTGGAATAAGTTACGATAGTGTAATGGAATTAAAATTCATTCTTTGAACTTTCTTAACTTACTATTTTTCTTTTTCTGCTTGGAGGCCTTCTTCTTCTTTGATGCTCAACAGCATGTCCATGAACTTTTGCCTATGCAGATCCTCCAAACCTTGCCTCAGTTCTTCCCCGTATTTCAACTTTTTGAGTCTGGCCTCTTCCTTCTCTTGCAGTTCTTTTAAACGGTCTTGTTCTATCTTCTCTTTGAGCTAGAGTCATAAAAATGTAAACTGGGTTATAATTACTAATCAATTTTATGAATAACTAATGTTTCATATCTCAAGTATATTTTAAGAAATTTATTTTTATGTATTGATTCGTGATAATTTATCTAAATTGAATACATTTTAATCATTAATATTCGTATGATTAAAGTAAGACTTGCTAAGACTTTGTGAAAGTAAGTGGTGTAAACTTTATAAACTTGGGTAATTTCCAACATCATAGATAATTCTAAGAATTTCTACCTGAAGAGAATAGATTCGGTCCATTCGTTTCTCCTCTTCTTTCTGCGCCAATTTGAATTGTAGCTGGGCAAGAAAGACATTTCTAGATTCTTGCTTAAACCTCTGCATATTTTCTAATTTCGCCTTTTCTGCATTCTCAGTTTTGACTCGTGTTTCTTCATCCAATAACAGTTGCGCAATCCTTTCTCGTTCATGTCGGAAACCCTTAAAATAAACAATTATTATTTAGTTGCATAATGATAACTGTGAGAGTTGTCCATGAATTTTTAATTTGATAGTTATCAATCGTTTTGGTCTAAATATTCTCAAGAGAGAGGTAAAAGAGACCAACCAAAATAATCTATAATAACCAAATTTCAAATAATTATCATATTTATTTATTTTTTAATTTGCATAGTCATAATAATATTGGCAGACAAACTGACTGATAAAAAAAAATAAATAAATTTGTGACTAGTGAAGTTTTATAGATGTACTGTATGTTAAACTATTCACCTCCAGCTGCTTAATTTTATTGATTACGGCTTCTTCTTTTCTCTGCCTTTCGTCTTCTTTCTGCAAGTTTTCATGTTGCAATTTTAGCTCCCTCTGTTTTCGCATTTCCAGATAATTAACAAGCCTCCTGAAATAGAAGTTTTTTTATAAAAAATTTAAAATTAGCATGTCAAACTTTGATCAAGCAGCACAATGTCCCATTTTCTTTTTATTACCGTTAAGGTCACAAGTCTATAAGTAAGCCAAACTCTTACTTCTAAATTAATTTGGCAATTTAAATTTTGAAATTATTTAATAATCAATGTGCTGCAGTGGCTAAAGAATTCTTTTAAATCTAGCAAACCAACAACAAAAAACAAGGAAATGTGGAAATTCGCTGGTGTGGTAATATAAGTAAAGAAACAACCATAATTTCAATTTTAAGGTTATTGCAAAAATTAGCCAGTGCTAGTGTTGCAATCCTCTGTATATTTACTGGTACCCACCTGTCTTCTTCTTCTTCGTATTCTTTCTCTCTCTGTGACCAAAACTGTTTAGCCATCTGGAATGATTTAATCTCTTCTTTTATGTGCTGCTTATGTTTCTGTAATTCTTCTTCTCGTCTAAATAACATAAAATAAAAATAAACATTTTGTACGTTAACAGTACACAAATTAACATAAAGTTTTTATTTATTAACACAAGTTAGAATTTTCTTCAGATTAGTCTTCATAATGCTATCATTAAAAAAAAGTTATACCAAAGATCAATGTAATTAAGCAATGGTTTAAATCTAATAATTTATTAGATCTGTCTTAAAATTACTTTTCATCTTCTTCCATTTCTATTCTAACCGCATCATTTATCAGTGCAGTTTCTTTGAGCTGCTTTTGATATTGTAATATTTTCAGCTTGTGATTGTCAATTATCTGATCTTGCAGTCCTTCCTTGTACTGCTGTTTCTTTCTTTGATGAGCTTTTTGCATTGCCTTCTCACATGATTCTCTAATCTGTTCTTGTGCCTTCATGTGTTCCTTTTCCATCATCCTTTCTGCCTGAAATTCCCGGATAATGTAAATAAAAATAAAATTTGTAATGGTACCTACCAAAAAATAAACAAGGTTATTTATTTCTCTTTAATACACTATCACTTCTAAGTTATTTTTACAAGTGTTGTCTGGATCTCATAACATTCTAGTCATAAAATATATTAAATAAAAAGCTTTCAGTTAGTGTTTCATCTAGTTTCATCAAATATATAATTTAAAAAGTAAATTAATTAATTGTTCTTTACGTACTTTTTCCATCTCTCCTTTCATTGCTGCTTCTTTGCCAGTAGAAGCTAATTCTTTCTGATAATAAGCTAATTTTAAGGTTTTATGCAGCTCACAAATTTCTCTTGATTGCCAAAGTATCTGTCTAAAATCCATATGAAACAGATTACTAAATTGAAAAGATGTAAGAGGTAAAAAGAACAGTACCTTTCTTTCAATTGCCTCATTTCTTCTTTTTTCGCTTTGTCCATGTGGTATGCAAGTTTTTCTTCTTGTTTTAATTCCTCGACTCTCCATCCTGCTGATTCTTGGGCCTAAAAGGAATCAACTTTATTTTGATGTACAAAAATAAATGTCTTTTTTGACATTTTATGTTTTATTTTCTAATAATTTTATGATTGTCTGAATTACCCTTGCGAGAGCTTCTTCCATTCTCACTTCTTTCTTCTCTTGGTACAACCTTCTCATGACATTCATATCTCTCACTTTTCGATCTGATCTGTGCCTCAACGCGGCAGCAATGTTGGCTTTTTTGTCCAACAAAGCATCCTTCTCTTTAAACATTTTCTTTATGTACGACTGCAAAGATAATATTTATAACAAATCTGTTTTTTTAACTGGTTAAGTATATATAACTTTCTTAACATATAATTATGGGCAGCAGAATTTATGTTTTATATTAATTTTTATTATACTCTGTGTCCTATTACTTTCAATTGTAAAAGATAAATAAATAATAACACCCTGGCATGTAATAATTACATATCCCCAAGGTTTGGCTGTGACTATATCACATCTAGTAATGCCTCACACCTGCCAATTTAAATTATTGAAAAAAACTACCTTGAGTTTTAGGTTGCCCTTTCTGTTAGATGGGCTCTGTACACAACAATTCTACAAATATGATGGCTTTTGTTTTATTTATTTTTCATTTATTTTTTATTATTATTTTTTTTTTTATTAATGGCTTTATGAACTTTGCATATCAGCCAAGGAACGTTATATGCGATGTGTATTCTTTTTAGGAGGGAAGCATTGCTTGAAAAAAAAAAAAAGTCAGGGGTGACAGTGGGAATCAAACCCACAACAGTCTGGGTCTAGAGCCAAGAGTCTTTCACACTGACCACTCAGCTACTGCGACCCACTTACAATAAATTGTTAATTAAATTTTCATCTATCGCTGAATGATTTTCCAGTGTTTTGGTTAATTTTCTTTCAACCCTATCACGATTAAATATTTTTTATTAAAACTCACGAATTTCTGGCTCATTTAATTTGCATGATATTAAAATAAGTATGTTGTAATTAATGTAATAATAAAAATACATACACGGTTTAAAATAGATAACAAAATACAAGTGTCGGTTTTTTGCCTTTGATTGTAATAATTCAAAAACAAATTCCAATTTTCATTTTGATGAATATGTAATTGATTTTATAAAAAATTCCTTTATATTTTTTTTTTCAAGTTCAAACATTCATTCATATTGAATGTTAAAATTTGTACAAAAATCTTTCATATTTGACTTGTTTGTTAAACATAATTACATGCTGATCTTGTACATCCAAACACAATCAACTTGTAATCCATACTTTCATCCTAAGATAAATAAAAATAAATTCTATACTCCGTATTCAATTGATTTCATGCAATAAAAATATTACTTTGACATAGATTGAGGATTCCATTGAGGAAATGAAAAACTTAAGAACTCAGCTGTACAATTTTACTCGTACTATTTTGCATTTGAAAATTCAATATTAAGCCAAAGCAAAGCTTACTGTGTGCTTTTTAATCCATATTTTGAACCTAAGACAGCATCTTAATTAAGTTTCAAACTTGAAGCTCCTAGACCCTATAAGACGGATTGTTGGGTATGATCAAATAAACCGATGTAACAGAGGACTGTATCACATGAGACACCTCATAAAATTTCATGCTTAAAAATCTATACAAAATTTGTTTTGGGATTGATGATTTTTGGAATCTTGAAGATTAGAGTCCATCCTTATGCATGTCACCAGTAACTTTTAATAAAAGCTTATGAAAATCAAGAGTGTATACTTACCATGACTGAAAATTTCTTTGCAGATTAAATAAACGTATAAAAAAATCTACAATAACAAAGTGAAAATATTAAAAATCAAAACTAAACAGCTTCTGAGGTAACTGGAATAATACTGTTTACACGTTGCCTTGACAACCATTGACTACACATACTACCAGGGCTCTAGTCAACAAGAGAGGGGGGTTTGTTTTGGCTCATAGTTTTTTATTCGAATCTCTAAATACTACAGGGTTCAAAGTGTTTTTTAACTATGTATGCTAAAAACTTAATCTGTTTCCGTTTTAATCGTGTCCCCCGAGGGAAAAACGTATTGATACGGCAGCCTTAAAGCGACGTTAAACATGCCTCGAGGGTCCGTTTAACCTCCAGCTACAGCCAAAATGTCAAAGGTACAGAAACATTGATTTTGTGAGAGACTGCTTTCAGCAGAGTTCTTCGGACATGATCGACTTCAACGTGGGCGTCATCCTCGCCGCAGCAGGAAGAGGCACCAGGCTAGCATGTCCCGTGCCCAAGCAGTACATCTCCATCTGGGTAGGTCCTCGACTTCGGGACGATAAACGAATGATTTTTTCAAAAATGTTTGTAAACAGGACAAGCCGCTGTTTCTCTACTCGTTGGAGGAGTTCCTGGCTTCCAGATACATAAAGAGGATTGCCTTGGTAGTCGACGACGTCTCCAGAGTCAATGACCTCCTCCTCAAGCATGACCTGAACGATACAGATAGGGTGTCAGTTGTCCAAGGGAGTGACAGGTCAAGACATGCATCCATCAAACTGGGGCTCCAGCATATAGAAAAGAAACATCAGGGTAAGCTATAGTGTGACAAAAGTTCAAAACAAGTTTCTGAAATTGAGTTATAATAAGCTGGTTGTTGATTTATATAAGCTCAAAAACATGTGTACAGAGTTGAGCCTATCACTTTTTGCAGTCCATAGGTAATTCCAGCTTTTGAATTTACAATGAATTGACGCAGGCTTCGAGATCACCTACTCCGGGTGATGGCAGTATGGGGTCAGACCTCAGATTGTCCATAAAGCCTCTGAGGTTGAGCTCTGGGTGCTGTCGACAGCTAGGGTCGACACCCAACGCAATCAGTTCCCAAATCCAAATGGATTCACACTTAATGCATTCTTTCTTACTTACATACTCATCCACTCCTGGCCAAGGAAGGATCAAATACTGAGTTCGTCGGACCACAACCGGTATTANTATATATACATACCCATCCACTCAGGGTAGTAGAGTACTCCATATCACCATTGATACCTATCATATAACTAACCTGATTGAGGGGGGAGTCGATGGGGAACTCAATAATTTAATAAATAATTAAAATAACCTCCATTACTCTCAATACACTTCTTCTTTATATCCTCTGAAAAGAATTTTGAGTCATTATTATCAAATTTTGTAACCACATTTTCTAATGACTTTTGATCAATAAATTTTTTATGTTGTAAAACGTTGTCTGGGTGTCTGAAAAAATGGTAGCCGGTAGGCGAGAGGTCTGGAGAATATTGAGGCAGAACCTCATAACCAAGATCCAACGGTTTTCATGTTGTCAGATGTGAGACATGGGCAAACCATTGTTCAGTAACCGAATCGGCCTATTCCGACTGACCAAAGATGGCTTCAATAATGTCAATTTCTGGTACTGTACTCAAATTGCTTCAATTTGAGAGCAATACATTGCAGCATTGATTGTTACGCCAGGATTCAAGAAGCTGTAGAAAATCAGCCCAAATAAGCACACCAAAATCACCATCATCATATTTTTTGGATGAGTTAGGGGCAAATGTGGTGCTGCTTTTCCTTTATCAAGCAACTGTCCAGAATGTCTGCTGTTATTGTAAAGAATCCACTTTTCATCCCAAGTAACAATTCTATCTGGAAAATGTTTCCGACCCAACTTTTGACCTCTTCCCCTTTCTGATTGCCTTAAGGTGGTCAGCAACTGAAAGATTCTCTGCAAGTTCTTTGTTGTTCTGAAATTTTCCAAGAAAAAATTTTTTTTTCAAAGAAATCCTTACACGACCTTATTTGTCTTCAAGGCTAAAGTCTCCCTCTGAAAATTTCTTAAACCATCTCTGAACGGTGCTCTCACTCACACTGCCATCGCTCCAGATTTCATTAATGTTTCTGGCCATTTGACCACCATTTAAACATGTAAAATGAAATTATGCAAAAATCGCGTGTTGCCATCTTAGTAGACTGAATTATTCCTAAGTAAAGAAATGATACTGAGGCAAACAAACATTTTTATTGAAAAAGGATTAAAAAGTGTTGATTCATACAAAATAATAATGCCTTGAATAAACAGTTTATTATACAGAGGGGTACTTTACATGTGAGAACTAGAGGAAATAAAGTATAGGCAAGGGTTATTACAAGATAAAAGAAAGATCTGTGTCTTATTGTTAAATAGGAGTGGAGCATCAGCCAAATAATTTATGGGAAAGCTGGAGTATTTTATAGCAAGACATGACTTTATAAATAGAGCTTGTGGATTTTCTGTATGTCTTTGTATCATAATAAAAGAGGTGGTTTAACCTTACTTTTCTTGATGTTACAGATGAGGAGTTAAAAGTAATTGTCGTTCATGATGCGGTTCGACCTTTTGTCCCGCAAGAACTGCTGATGTTACTAGTCAAAGCAGCAGCAGCCGTCGGTTCTGCAGGTCCGACCAAACCGCTCGTATCAACTGTGCTGAAAAAGAACGCGGAATCATTTCTGGAGGCGAGCCTAAACAGAAACTTGTATGTAGCAAGTGAAACACCTCAGGCTTTTCAATTTGAGATTCTCTCCTCGGCATATAGCAAGGTCTATTAACAAAGTTTCTGTCTCACAGAATATAATTTCTAACTGGTTTATTAAAGAAAAATTTTTTGGATGTTCAGATCACTGATGAAGAACTAGAAAATGGTACTGAATGCCTTCAGCTTGTACTGTCCCATTGTGGGATAAAACCAAAGCTAATTCCCACAACCGAGGATTTAACAAAGGTGACTTATCAACAGGATGTCAACATCGTTGAAGCAGCTTTGAGGTGTAAGTAGGGTTTTGTTTTTCAATAGATTTATACTTTTCTTTCATAATAATCATGTATTTAATAAAAAATCAATAAAAATAATTAGTCAATCTGTTACGGCCAAGCCGCAGATATTGGCCTGCTGACAAGAACAAGAATTAACTCGCCAATAGCAGTACTTTTTTTTTCTTACTTGCACATGAGTCTTAGCCAACCCTCCTGCTTGATCTGTCACTGCCCCACCTTTGCTGCTAAATGCCTGCTGTCACAGAAACACAAGTTGTTGGGTCTAAATTTTAATTTTATTTTTGTTTGTATTTTGTCAGGTCTGATTTTATTTGTAAAGTTTGCGAGCAAGCCTTTTAATTTATTGTCACTTTCATCTACATGTCTACATTTCTTGTAAAAAAATAATAATGATAAAAAGCTAGTAATAAAGGCAGAAATTTATCCAGTAAACTTTTCTTTTTTTGTTCAAAATTGCGGGGCAAAGATATACCTCAATACCCTCAGCCCTAACTTGAGGTCACCAAAGCTTCAACACAGTCTTTAAAAAATTATTATTTTCTATCAAATATTTAAAAAATTCTAAATATCCAATGTTCACAGCAAAGACAACAGACGTTTGTATAATATCTGAAGATATGAGCGAAGAGTTAACCACATTGTCACAAGGTCTGGTTCACCGTGTTGGTACAATGCGTACAATGATCGGAAAGCTTGCTAAAAACAGGGACATGTTCAACGGAAAGGTTTACAACACGATAATTCTCCTGCACATGCACGAAATTGAACAGGACCTCCACCTGTTGGATTTTGCCAACCTGATCGACATGGAGAGACAAGTAGGTGATATTCAACCTGAAAATTTAATTTTAATTATAATATACGTATTTTTAGGGGCTCATTATACACATAATACACCACGCTTCGATCGACGGCCTTCAGAACATGTCGGTGTACAACTTGAATCGCAATTCGAGAAAAATGGCTCACAATTATGAAAAATTTCATAAGGGTGTAGTTGTCATACACTGCGTTTCTTCTAACGATATCCAGTTGCTTACGAATGTGGTAATTTCTCTAGTCCAAGCAGACCCCCAAACATTTTCTGGCCAAAATCTCTTTCTCTAAGCAAATTGCCTGATAAGTTTTTTAATCGTTCTAAACATTAGCATGTGCTACGGTTTTATAGCCGTTACTTAGAACACTTTATTTTAATAGGATTTTGAATAGGATAGTAAATTGTTTCCCTTCATTGATGTTCTAAATACAACTTACAGATCCTATAGATTTAGAGAAATGAAGCAGCTGAATGATGGGTAATATAACACATCTCTTTTTTTATCTGTAAACGATTTATATATCTGACTACTCAAATTATCTAGTGAAAATCCAAGTCTATCCATCTAAAAACATTTAGTATTGTTTTGTGAAGAAATTAAATAAAAATATATTTGTTGGTTTTTAAAAATAATAAAAGAATTCCCAGTAAGGTCAAACATTAAAGCCTATGTAAAGGTCGATTTCTTAAAAAGTAGGTAATGTGTGCTATACTGAGACATCTTTAACCTGTCTTCCTTGGGGACTGCAGTTGCTACATGGTTATTGTATCAGCCCGTCAGTTCACAGCAAATAAAACCTAACAGACATCACACTCTTAGTCTGCAAGAACAAGTCGGGTCTGGGATGGTGGTTGATGGATGCAGATGCTGCTTCCAAGGCAGCAGGAGATAATTGGAAAAATTCTCCCTGGTCAGTCATCTCTGAATTGAATCACTCCATATTTCTTCCCATTCTTCCAAGCTGCATTAATTTAACATTCTCTTAACCAAGGATAGAGGAACCCTTGAGTACATAATAGGCAAATACTCATTTTGAGAAGCAGCCTTAGCCACGTGGTTGGCAAACTCACTTCCTATTGTCCCTTGTGCACCCTGACCAATGATGAGATGGTGCGAGACGTGTCATGGTAATTACTATCAGTAGAAATTATTATTCAGCTCATCCCACTCATGAAAGCCAGTTCAGCATGGTTGTCACCCATGGTATTTCTGTGCAAAAATCTGCACGTTTCCCTTCAGGAGACAAATGTACATGCTACATGTTCTCTACTTTTGCTGATGTCAGTACAAATTTGCAGATGAAAACTCTTGGGGTACGGTACATAATCTTTCTAAGAAGTTTCTCTATTTTTCTCCATTTTTAGTGACCCGCAGTTGTAGGTTCAATTCCCACCGTAGACCCTAGAATTTTCAGCCCCCTCCTTTTCTCCAGAATAACAAACTGTTATCAAAAATTATGTCATGGCTGTATAGCTTATAATAAATTTATATTCTTGTTTTCCAGTGAAATAGCATAATTTTTGTTGCTGTTTGGTCTGTGTCTGTTTTGTTACAAAATAACTCACATTAACAGTAGTTTTGCAGCTTATCTATGTGCTTAATTTTACTGACAAATATAATAATTCCTCAAATAAATAAATGAAAATGTGACTTTTTGTGTGAATATTTTTAAGAGAAAAGTTCTGTAATGTTGAGTTCTGCACCTGACACTTCATAAATCTAAACTGAATTTAAAACTTGTATCTATTTTTTCCATATAAAAAGAAAAAAGTGGAATAAAACAAGCTAAGAAAAGGTAAATGGAGGGAATGAAGTTATTTACTGTAATTGTAGTCATTTTTAAAATATCTCCAAACAATTTTCCTTATTTTTCCTTATAAACTGTTCGCTTTGGCCATTATGTCCTGTTCTTTGTTTCTTGTTTGATTGTTATTTTTTATTTTAATGATTAAATTGCTCCACTTTCAAATCAGTTTTATATTTGGTACACTCCAATCTGAAAATGATCTCATTTTTTATATTTTTAAAATTAATAACAGTTATAATTTAGATGGTCTGAATATTTATTCTAGCTCTTTTTCCTATCAAAAAAGCTATTTTTATACATAAAGTTAAGGCATGTTATTTTTAAAAAGCATAGATGGCCGTTTATTTTTGTAGACTGGATTTGTGAATTTACATTATTTGATATAAGGGGTTATAATACTGTGTAAACAAATTTTGATTGTTTGATTTAAAATTATAATATTTTTATACAATTATTTGGTTGTACAAGAAAAAATAAACTTTAAAATTATATAAATGTGTAGTTGGATAGTATAGTTTAATTTGTCAAATATCTTTGGGGTGGTAAATTTAATTTTAAAAAATAATTACCATGCTATATACCAAAAAACTCACATATGTAAATTGTATGTTATGTAAACTTTATGTGTTGTGTTAAATCCTACTATGGATTCATGTCAAAAGTAGCAAAATTATAAATTTGCAAATACAAAAGTAAGGCTAGTATAAAATGTAGGTGTTTTATGTTAATAAATGTGAATTTTTTTACTATATAATTAAATTAATTCTTATCCTGTCAATAAAAGTAGACTTATTCATAGGTTCATAGGTCATAGGTATATGACAATGTTTTAAAAAACTAATTCACTACTTTCGTGGTCCGCTTGACCAATCAATACTTGACAATTAATTAAGGTTTTTAGTCGAGTTGAAAAAAAGTCAATGGCACGAGGGATTTGAACCCATGACCTTTGGCTAGATACGCCGCTGCTCTACCACCTGAGCTATCGTGACCTCGATCCACTCGGACATCAACTCCCCATCTCAACCCCACCTTATGAGTTTGAGATGGGGAGTTGATGCCCGAGTGGATCGAGGTCACGATAGCTCAGGTGGTAGAGCAGCGGCGTATCTAGCCGAAGGTCGTGGGTTCGAATCCCTCTCGTGCCATTGACTTTTTTTCATCTCGACTAAAAACCTTAATTAATTGTCAAGTTTTAAAAAACAAAAATGTCCAATAATATAATCTCTTAGACTAAAACTGTGGAAAAAATTCTTAGCAATCTCTTCAATTCTCAAATTGAAGCAATTTTTTACACCAAGAAGTTAGAAATGTTTTAAGCCACATGTAAGTTACTCGAAATAGGCAAGTAAAATTATTGAAATGTTCATGAAACTTTTTGAGATGTCTAAACATAAAGCAAAACTTAATCAATTATAGAGACATCCACCCTAGACTTATCTCATTTTACGAAAAATTTTACCTAAAGAGTGCAGAATTGATCTGCCGACTTCAAAAAGAAAATTATGATTCATAACCTGTTATCCCTAAAAACTTTGAATTCTTCAGTACCTACAGCGTTTGTCCCACACAAAAATTCTAGACGCTTAGTTTAGTTTTATTGAATCACCGACAAAATTCTTAATTCCATGTAAGATTTGTTACTCCTTCAGCTATAATTTTTATACCAGGGGTGGTGTTAGGTGTACAAACCCATCCATCTAGGGCTGCACGTTACAAGCCTCAAGAATATATTTTTAGTGGCCTGGAGGCTTGACACACATGTAAGATTAAGCATAAGAGTGGTGGATAATTTTTATAATATATCGTTAGATTCCCTCCTGCGATGAAGATAGATTCCTCTGTAGTGTGATGAATCTGTTAATCGATCATTACTGATCATTTTAGTCTGCCTATATTCACTACGCTGGTCTATCAGACACATTTTCCATTTTCGCTCCTCCCACTCACTTATGAGACTTGACTTCGTGAAATCAGTCACACTGAAAATGACAAAGGGCGTCTGACAGACCAACTCAGCAAAAATAGGCAGGTCAAAATGATCAATAACAATCAAATTAGATGTTTTTATAGTTAAGAGAATTGTATTTTGTAAGTCAATTTCTTGTACAATTGTCGACCACTTTAAAATACTTTTATGGCAAATTAACCTCTTAAATAAAAGTCCAAGGGCCATGCCAGTACTCAAAACCAGAACTGCAACTTTGTCAACATAATCAGCTACCACCCACAAAAAATTAATTGTTAGATGTGATGATAATATGTGTAGTAGATAAACGATGACTATACAAATTTTTTGATGAAAATTGTACAGCAAAAATAACACTGAAAGGAATGTATATTTAAAGTTATTATTAGATTGAATACATTGATATATTTTTACAATATATTTCAAACAATGGAATGCGAGATGACAACTAAAATTTCAGATAAAGATTTGGCCCTTGAGTGATCAAGATTAGCCAAGCGGGTTTGGTTTTATTACGTTTCATTTCAAATTTTAACAACATTACACATCTAGACACTCGATCCTTAAAATATACAATAAAATTCTTAATTATTTCTCAACAATAATTTACAAATGTACAGAGAAATGCGCCCAATGTCCACTTGTGAAGGAATAAAACTGAACTAGTCAATAGGCCGAGAGTGGTGAAGAATCAATTTCACATCTCTTCAGGATTGAACATGCCCTGAAAGACAAACACGATGTGAATACAACAGAAAGAGTATTATTCACATAATCTTACCTTGGCCCTGCGCAGTATGGAATCTTTAGTTGCGTCATAAGGATGATCCTTTGACGGTATCTCCAATATCGCCGGTATGGGTTGTGTATGGTTATCGATACAGATACGTATCATTTCTGCAACCTAAATATACCCAAAGTTAATTTGAATTTAAAAAAAAAATAAATATAACCTGGCTGTCTTTTAGAGAAATGAACTTAACTAAATGTGCTTAGACCAAATGCTTGAAGTATTCACATTAAATTTACTTTCTGTTCAATTAGAATTTTGGTCATAATATTGTGAACTAATGTAGTACAGTATTAACATTATATAAGATTGTTAATAAAAGTTAAATCAGGGAAGCAGAATCAACTTCTCAGCAAACCAGAACAATAGGAAAAACAAGAACAATTTTGTGCGAGCTGTGAACAACATTAAACCGTCTTCCTCTGGTTCTTGTCCTATGTTACGGTGTTTTTTGTTTGTTTTTCTTACAAAATAAATAAAATCAACCAGTACTGGAACTTATTTAGATGGGAATAAGATAGGTCACAAAGCCATTGTCATTTTAGAAGGTATGAAGGATTATAAGGGTGGACATAATCCCTCAATAATAACTCAATCCCTGGACATTGAGGAAACAGTTTGGGCTAGTGGGTTAGGGTGGAGGGATAGTTTACAGTGGAAATCGAGGAAGCATGTTCGGATCAGATCCCTCAGGAATGGGATTGTAAGATCTTTACAAATTCATTTGACCGTGTTGTAGAATAGACCAGTGAGTATACAGTAGAGCCTTTAGACTGAAAGGATTGGATTCATTGGATGTTGGAGGATTTGGCCGAGACCCACAGTTTGACTCCATAAGTCCAAATTGGTCTGACAAGTGTTTTGTGAGTAGTGAGATATTTAGAGCTTAGTGTTGATTTAAGCCCAAGTAAGCATCTGAGTAGTCTTTACGATTTTTTGTCAAGCTCTTGTTGTTTTAATCTCGTGTATGGGTTCCATGCAAGTTTGTTATTTAAATAAAGCCCACAGTAGTAGACTTGGTTAGATGGAGATTATCTTGTTTATGTGAACTAGTGGGCTGGTCGGACATTGAGCATAAACATTATTTGTTGGCTTTTTGTGCACAGTCAACCTGATCCGTCATCAAGTGTACCATGTATGGATGTGTACATCAGCAGTAAGGTGTAGATGGTGTAGAGAATTGGACCTAGGACACTTCCTTGCAGAACCCAAGCTTTGAATGGCATGATGAGTAAGAAATCAGAAAAGGAAGGAGTTCAGGTGTGATATTAGGTGTGAGGGAAGATAGGTTTTAACTTGTAAAGATGTGCTAATAAAGTTATAAAATTTAATCCGCCACTGAGTTCACAGTTGGTAATGAGATTCAGATGTTGCATTACTTCTGGGGCTAGGATACAATTGGAGTGTGTAGTTAGGATTGCGGTGTCACCCATAGTTGTATGTATGGATGTGCATATATGTCAACAGTGTAGATGGTGTAGAGAATTGGACCTAAGATACTTCCTTGTGGAACGCAAGCTTTGAATGGCCTGATGGGTAAGAAATCGAGAGCCAATTTCCATTTTAAACCATCTATTGTTAAAGAAGGGCTTTAGGATGAGATAGAGGGGTGAGGGATATGTTTTATTTATTTTTTTAACAAGGGTTCGCAACAGCAGAGGTCATATCAACCGTCAGGGTGCTGGTGTTTTTGAAAAAAGCCTATTTGTAAGTATGTCAGGTTCAAATGAAGGGCCGCTGGATTTAAACCACAGATCATGTGATGAGCGCCATGTCAACGTCTTAACTGTTGCAGCCACCAACGGCCCCAAAGAATTTGTTTTCACTTGTAAAGATGTGCTAGATTAAAGTTATATAATTTGATCAAGTCCAAGTTAGTCTTTTGTCCCTAACCAAAGTGGTAGGAATTATGCCTTATTTATATTCAGATTATTGAGATATTCTACAGTATTGTACTGGTCATGCTTGAGCAAATTCTAAATAGTTCCAATTTTTAATTTCAGTACTTCAAAACACAGGTTTGTGGTAACCCAGAGTAGAGGACGACAACGGCCCCCTCGTTGGCCATCGCAACACTCGCCTCTGCTGGTTTGGCCAATGGAGAATCAAGTCCTCAGGAATGAGAGAAAGGGTTATAGGCCCAGGAAGGACAAAGAGGTCTCTCTTGATTTTGACTTTTGATAGAGGTGCTAAATAGCAGAAAACACCCTTGCTTTTCTCAAGGAATTGATGGCAGGACGCGGAGAGACGAGGAGACTGGCCCAGCACACCGCCCATCACATTACAGCACTTAGAAAGGTAAGAAGGTTTTTTTAATGTCATCCCACCCAAGTACCCTGTACATATAAATAATAACCCAATATAATTGTAATAAAAATTTCTCGAAATTTCTGAATGCACACACTTGCTTCCAGACTCTTGTAGAGATCACCACAGGTTCCAAAATTGTGAATATATGTTCATATTTGTTAACTTTTTAAATTAGAGATTATAGTTTCATATTTACAATTTACAACTTCACAGCCCAAGATGGGTGTGGCTCTTTAGAAAGGATTTAAACTGAAAGATTTTGTACATTTGTACATGTTATGTCTGTAGTGCTAGGATATTTAAATAGACTTATATACTTTTTGCACAGTTTGCCGTATTGTACACTTCAAGTTAGCGAAAGTTCAATAAATTTGAAACGCAGGTGAAAATCATCTCGACGAACTTACATTCTGATTGATGAGAATAATATCGATGTCGTCCCTTTTGATAAACCTTTTGAAAGTCTCTTCCACTTCTCCAACGCTGGTATCTGGAAAAGTAAACATACCGTTTTAAGATAAATTATGGAAACAAAATAGAAAATATTTTTTTAAAAACACTAAACCTACTTTTGTCAACAACGAAGAAATTAGGATGGCGATTTTTGTTTATTTCGCCGATTCCACCTAAGAGAAAACCGACGCATGTGTCCTGGAAAAGGCAAAAAATCAGAAAATTTGTAAAAACGGTAACGCCCACTTTTATGTTCTCACCTCGTCCCCGATGACGGCCAACAATTTTCCCTTGATTGCTGAATGCAAGGCCATTTCTTGACGGATTCAAAGAAAATTGAGAAAAACGGTACGAAAATCCGACGATTAGCAGAAGATAAAATAAAAACCCAAGTTGAGACCTATCAGCAACTTATACCAGAAGGACTGTCAACTTCTCACCTTATTGCTGTCGGGCAGAATGACCAAATGGTAAAAGTAAAAATTCCCGTTCATGGGTCAAATTTCTCTTTTTTTCCATTTACCCAAGTCCTTCATGAAAGTTTTTTCCAATTTTCCTCTCCATCAGATAAAAAAATTACAAATATTTAGCATTAAAATGCATCACAAGATGTTCTTGGTGTTGTACATTCAATCCTTTATTTGCCATATGCTAAATTAATGAAATCAATTGTATAAATTTGGAAAAAAAATACCAAAAGCATTGTCCTCAAATAGTTATTGCTTGAAGTTTCAACGATTCACCATATAATTTGTAATATCAATAAATACCATATTCTTTCGTTACAAAAGTTAGCTCAAAAGATTTAATTCAACAAATAGTAGGACATATTTAACTGTTAATTAGAAAATTTTCTCTGGGATACACCATGCTAATATTTCAACCACTTTACTTTTACTTGAAATACAATGTTGTTGTTCTGTCAGATGATCATCAAACATGTGTTGTTTAATTTGATTTAAAATCCATAATTCATAATAATAAAATAACTTTCAAAATTCTAAACTCTGCCTATTATTATTCGGAAACCGTGAGATGTGGTCTGGTGTGATGTAGGTTTAGAAAAACCTTTTCTTTATGGTGCCAACGTTTCGATCTTCATTGAGATCATCTTCAGGGGGATTAAATTTTTTAATCTAATATTTTCTAGCATTGTATAAATTCTTTTTTTTTTAACTAAAATTTGTAGCATTGTATAATAAATTCATTTTTTCACATCCTACATGTATTTGTAAAAATTAAACAATGTTATAAATCCCAGGCTCAAGATCAAAATGTTGGCACGATAAAGAAAATGTTTTTCTAAAACCTACATCACACCAGACCACATCTCACGAACTCCGAATAATCATTGACTAATTGTCACTAAACACCACACATTATTACAGCTATTAATTTTTAGCCATATGCTTATTGGCATATGAATAAAAAACCCTTAAAAATGTCACAAATAAAAAAATGTATATATTTAGTAATCATAGTTGATTGTATTAATTATTTCGATTAGTTTTACTTTTTCGTTTCTCGTTTACCGAACTGCAAAGCTCCTGGTTTTGACCTGATAACATCCCAAATTCTCCAACAACTCCCTAAAAAAGGTATTATATTCCTCACATACCTCTACAATTGTATGCTCCGCACTACCTATTTTCCCTTACTTTGGAAATATTTTAACCTTATCCTCTTCCTGAAACCTGGCAAGCCAGCTCAAAAATCCTCATCTTATCGACCAATTAGTTTACTTCCCATCATGTCCAAAGTATTTGAAAAAGTTCTCCTTAAACAGCTATTGCCACAATTAAAGTCTAACCTCCTCCCCGATCATCAGTTTGGCTTCCGCTCCCACCATTCCACAGTCCAGCAGTTGTTTCGCGTAGTTGACCATATATCCTCCTCCCTCGAGCGCAAAGAATATTATATGGGAGCTTTCCTTGATACGGCACAAGCGTTTGACCACGTGTGGCACAGGGGACTCCTGTACAAATTAAAGCATGTCCTTCCAAATACTCTTTACCTAATCCTCTGCTCTTATCTAACAGCGGTTCTTTTGGGTCCGACAAGGATCAGATTTCTCCGAATACTGCTCTCTAGCTGCGGGAGTACCGCAGGGCAGTGTGCTCGGACCAATCCTCTACATCCTTTATACTGCAGATATTCCCACTAAATCTACCACCCTACTTGCATCCTTCACCGATGATACAGCTATACTATCCTCCAATTCTGATCCTGCAGTTGCTTCGGAAGATCAGCAGGAACATGTCTCATGTATAGCAGATTGGTTTAGACAATGGAAAATGAAGATAAACGAAAGCAAGAGCGTCCATGTCACATTTACTCTCTGAAGTAAATCTCCTCTCACGATATACTACAACAACGTTCCTATTCCCAAATCCGACTATGTTCGCTACCTTGGGTTCCACCTAGACTCACGACTAACGTGGAATCAACATACACGACTGACATGACAAAACCTAAACTGACGTTATGGTCTACTGCACAGACATATAGGACGACAGTCTAAACTATCGACAAAAAACAAACTTACAATGTACAAAACACTACTACAACCGATTTGGACATACGGAATAGAACTGTGGGGAACCGCTAAACCTTCTAATATCCAACGTCTCCAATCCTTTCAATCTAAAGTCCTCAGATCCATTGTAAATGCTCCTTATTGTGTCTCAAATGCTACCCTCCACAACGACCTTCAAATTCCTTATATCCAAAAATTTATTCCTCAAAAATTTACCAAGTTTCACAAAAAACTCTCCCACCATCCAAATAGTCTTGCCTAAGCCCTGTCCGATAGAACCCATCCCTACAATCCCATAAGACGTCTTAAGAGGAAATGGCCCCGCGACCTTCCGAGTAAACTGTAAAAAAAACATAAACAAAGTGAAGAGGGAGGATAACATTAATTATTTTCTCCCCTCAATGTAAATAGTTGTACATAAGTTCATGTATCCGCAAATTACATATTGTAAATAATAATTACAGATTGTAATAAAAATAAATAATAGTAATAATAAAATAAAAAGTTTTACTTTTTATCTAACGTCTTAATTGAGATGAAAAAGCTAGTGTCACGAGTGGACCAAAAAGATAAAAACTATAATTAATTAAAATGTAGTATATATAATATCCATGGACAGTTTTTTATTATATATTTTTTGGTATTTGTTATTTTAAAAAAAAATCATGTGGATTTTTTAAATAAATTCATTACTTATTTAAGCATTTAAGTATTATTATATGCTAATTTCTGTTAAAAATGCATGTTAATTGAAAAAAAAATCTGTTTATAAACACTTATAAAAAAAGCATTTGAATTTTATGAAGTAATTCACCTTCATGTTTTCGTGCATAATAAACTCTTTCATAAGTAAATGTTTATTGACCAAAAATATTCATAAATAAACTAAATGAAATATTTTGGTTAATGTCAAGCATCAATGGCTAACAGCTTATTTGATTTAATACATCTTGTTTTTGATAACGATTCCGATAAAAAATTTATTTCGGCCTGCGCCAGTCAATTCTTTTTCATGAATTATTGTATAAGGAATGTGCGAATGTTTCGAGTAAATTGTACAGAACATTGTTATAAAAATAAACGTAAACATCCCAGATTTAATAATGCACAATTGTATAATGATTTTAATTTTTTGAACATGAAACAATTCTTATTGTTTTTCTCTTGTTTGCATATAAGTAAATCCTGTCATACAAGATGTCTTATACGTTAGGTGTCACAACAAGCAGTCAAACAACTATACAATACCTTTCTCATAATATTTGAATAGAAAAAAAAGCTATATCTTGTTTCGTACCTAGAACCACTAGCATGGCAAATACGATTTGGACATCCTAACCACTCATCCGGTGCGGTTCCCTCTTGGTTGCATATGTATAAATTTAATCTTAATAATATTGAAATCCATACCAGGTTGTTTAAAATTTCTTATTTTATTCTTAACAAAATTAATTCAAAACATTATTCAAAACATGCCTAAATTATTTTAAAATTTAGTATTAAATTAGTACACTATGTACTAATTGTGATCCTTCCTAGTGACCTGCAACCCTTCAAGGTTGAAAATTCAGGTTAAGCACTTTAGAGTGTGCCTAACTTATTTTTGTTATTTTATTTTTATCTCTAATATAGCTAGCTCTATTTATAACTATTATTGAGCTGTTTGTAAACAGGTGAAATTTAGAGACTTTTTGTTTAATTAAATTAAAGAAAATTTGACTTCTGAAACAATGGACTGATGCTAATAATTACAAAAACTGTGGTTAATTTTTGTATATCCAATAAATTTTATGCATTCCTAAATATTAATATGACCATTCAGAGGCTCAAACTGCTTCCTGACATTATCATATTTTTTGTAATTAAGTAGGTAAGCTGTTTCCCAATAATGTTTTCTTGCAGAGTATTACTATAAAATTGGTTGTGTGTAAAAACAACAGCTCTATGCCTGCCTGTATATAAAGGGCGAAATTTTGTGTATTGACAACCTTAATAAATTCTTTGTAACAAACTGCTGGATCTTTTCCACCTCATCAAACTACTTATTACCTCATGCCTGATCTACTATAAAAATAAAAAAAATAGGGCTTCATTGAACAATCTTAAAGATCATACATTTTTGGGAGAAGTTTATTTCTAATACTATTTTGTTTTCTCCATTAGTAAACTTATCTTTGCCACTTTATTTTTGTTTATTTATTTTTTCCTACAAAATGATGCCTACAATTTAAACTCAGTCATAGAGAACGCTAAGTACTTATACTGTTTTACCACTTTTATCTCTTCTCCTTTTGGAAAACATTTTTCTTTGACTTCCATTTCTCCTTTTTATTAATTGTTATAACTGTTTATTTTACTAAGTTAATGGATAATTAATAAATATAACATGAACAATTATATTGTTTCCATCATCTTTTATTACTTATCAGAAAAGAAGAAGAAAGATGATGGGGAATTGATTTTAGTGAAAAATCTTTACGATAGATGATAGAACAGAGAGAAGCAAGAAAAGTACAGTGTTTTGTATAATTGAGTAAGATTTCTTGTTAAATAAAAGGCATAACACATTGTATAAAAAGTGTAGTTATATTTTGTTATTAAATATTTTAGTTTTTTACACATTTGAAATATTATTTTATGTACAAAAATAACAAAACGTTACTGCTATTACTAAAGGACATTTTGTGTGTGCTTTTAAATTTTTGGATATGTACAGATTCGTTTGTAAAAATATTGAATATTTTACAAATATCACGTTTGCCTAAATTAATTAAATCATCACGCAAATATAAGTTGTTGAATTGTACGATTGCTCTTATCTCAATTAGGACACTTATTGAATTTTTACACTTTTACAGTTCATTCTCTCAAATTAAACATTGAAATGGCAATAGTAGTTGTTGAAAAAAAAAAAAAAAATGAAATTTGTAGGAACAAAAGAGGATTACGTTCAAATTTACAAAATTGGGTCCAAAACTGAATTCATTTACAAAAAAACTATATTCACAATTACAAACAAAATGGGTAAAAATGTTCAAAATACATTACATTTTAAAGATTATATAAATGTATATAAATGCAACCACTCAAGGGGCCAATAAAATCAAAAATATTTACATATACATACACACACTTACAATATTCTCAGAGCATTCCTTAATATCTATTATTACAATTATTTATCACTTTTTTTATATTTTAGAACATATATTACAAATAAAAAATAAATACGACTAGCCAAAAACATAGTGTTTTAAGTTTATATATTTAGTATTTATTGGGGGGTACTTGTTTTTTAAATAATGTCGCTTTTTAGAACCTAGGAAATTCCAGATTTCAAGTTTAAATGCTGCCAAACTATCCGAAATGAAATTAATACACAAAAATTATATGTTATTATCTATATATACATTTAAATAGTGCGTTGTTATTAGTGTTGGGTTATTACTCATAAGCAGTTAAAAACCTTTCCCATTTGCATAAAAACAATTTTCAAAGCCAGTACTCCGGTCAACAAGTGTCTTAAACCTAAATGAGACAACTCCCTAAAATACTTCGCATAAACAAAAAATTATAACACGAAGCAAAATAAATTAAATCATAGCACCCACCTACAACACAAATCTTCGCTATCAATTGCTGAGGGAAATTTAATTTAATCCTATTAAGTACTAAATAAATCCATGGGTTGGCCAAGTTTATGTACGTATAATAGCAAAATTGTAATTGAGTTTGTTACAACAAAAAAATCATATTCAAACTGGATTTTGTTTTTATAATTTTTTTTCTTCCGTTTGATGAGAGATCCATTTCCAGATGGACGGACTTCTTTGAAATTGATTTTTTTAAATGTTTACAATCTTGATATTGGTTGAAAGGCGATCTTCAAAATTAGAAAGCACTTCAAAATTTTCAAATTTACGATAAAAATGTCTATGTGGACCAACAAAATTTATCGGGTGGGCTTGTACTGCTAGCCTTGCAATATGAGAAAAATTATTGGTCTTTCTGTAATAAACATCTCAGACACTGATTCAAAAGGACTAGGAATTCATTTATCAAAGTAAGTATAAAACTGTAAAATAAAAAATAATCTTTGAAATCAAACTGTTGATGTAAATCATGTATGAATCAACAGTGTAATTTTTAAAACAGTTATTTTTGATTCTTTAAAAATTAGATTAATAATTTTCTTGTTTTATTCATTTTTGGTCAATACAATTTTAGACTAGGTGATGAACAAGAATTTTATGGTTTATATATTTTTGCTGCTACTTTAATTTGGTGTGAAAAAAGTAGTTTTGTTTGATAGGGATGAAGTGAGTTAATTTAATGTTTGCTAAATAATAACAAATCAAAAAATTTGGCACAGCCATATAAGCAATTTCCATTTGATTTTACTAGGTGCTGATGAATTTTTCTGATAGCTTTGCACAGCCATAAACTTAATGATGTAAAAAAATATTTTAACAGCTATCCGTTTAGATGAAAAACTATAAATTTACGTTTCTAAACCTTTTTCAAATAATAATTAAATACAGTCTTGATGCGTTTAGTTTCAATTTATATAGTTTTTTCACTGCCACAATTCACTAAATGCGTTGCCAATCCAAATCATGACTATGGGCATAATGTATGCAAATAGGACCTTATTAACAGAATTATTAGAGGCACTACTTCTTTCAGATGTCCTATTATATGTTGCTTTTCCTGCATCAGGTATTGGGTAGAGTCGATTGTCCTCTTCATTGATTCGTGGAAGTTCAGGCTCGACTGGGTGGTCTGTCGGAGGATGGACATTTGAATTTGGATAGTGGGGAAACATGCCGGAACCACCATCACTCGAATCTTCATCATCAGGTCCATATCCGGAGCCACTTCCAGATCCGAAGGTTTCTTCTAAAAATTAAACAAACAAAAATTAGTTTGTAAAAACAAATTTAATGCAAATTATATAATACCTGTATCTATCCATTCGACATCCATTCCCATATAAGCAGTTTTTAGTTTATTTGCTATTGCATTTAATGCATAAATCTGCTCATTTACTAAACTGTTGGGCTGATGGATGTCCACCATGACTTCAGGGTTGTTGACTTGATTCGGCATCCCATCACCAACATTCGGCTTACTGTATCTAAAAATTAACAAAAATTAGTTTGAATAAAGAGTTAATATTCTCAGTAGTACACACTTGTCATTTTTCTCTCCATTCCAACAGTTTTCTTGAGCTTGAGTGACTGTCGTTCCGCACATGTGATAAGGCAACTTTTGCCAAAAGTTTTTCGTTTCTCGAATCTTGCTCCTTGTGTCTTTGATAACTTTTTCAAGCCCGTCGACAGGCACCTGTTGTTTCTTTCCTTTACCGTCAGTATCAAATTTGAGAGTTTCAAACTGTATTTCCCCTGTTCCTCTCCTCCTTCTTCTTTTTCCAAGAACCGGCTTGCCGCAACTGCTGAAAACCTACAGAAAATAATCAGTAATTGTAGTGATTAATTGCAATCCATTGAATCAAAAATAAAGTTACCTTCTGTGAAACAGGCTGGGCATTTTCTTGGAAATTCATGATCGCATCTGATATTTTCAAGTTTATCGGCTCCACGACCATTTCTATATTGAAAGGTCCTAAAAGACGTTCGATAACCCTATCGAGTTGAGCTGTAAAACAAAATATGTTATACTAAACCAATCTAATATTGAAAATAAACCTCAAACTTACTTATGAATAAATTCCATGAAGTATCAAACTGTGAATGATATGCAAGACAGCCTTTCATTACATTTGTACAATAATTTGAACAGGGTTTCAACTCTTTGAGACCACTGCAAGCAGGACACTGTGTCATTTTGGCCACTGCTCTGTTACATGATGCAGTCATAGCAAGCTAAAACATAAAAATTATTTATTATATTGTTTACAACTAGAATATAGTTTTAACTAACATTTTGTATGTTGTTGACTATATTTCCAGCGAGAGTTAGTGACTGGACGAAAGTCCTAGTTGCCACGAATGATCTTTTCAATTGGTTCGTCAGCTTGCTTGGAACATCTCCAAATGGCTTCAACTCCCTCATCTTGTCTGTCACACACTCTAAATACCTTTAAAAAAAAAAATTAAAAAATTATTACTGAAGAATTTAAATTGGGGAAAAAATTGTCTTACTTGTTGTCAAAATGGTACTGTGCGTTCAACACGGTGAACATTTTTTGATACAGCGTACTGAAAAAGTTGTCCATCGTTTCAGTTAAATCAACTTGACCACGGGCGTAGTACTTTTCCAGCTCGATGAAAAGATCCGTGAAGACATAAGAATTCTGTTCATATATAATGCCATAAGTCCTTTTGAACATATCATGAAAATCGGTTTTTGCTTTTGCCATCATCTCCTTGAAAATTACTGAAAAAAAAAGATAATATAGATCAAAACTATCATTTGGTTCTTGTGATTTTTTTCTGTTATGTGTAGCAAACTGACTTCTTTTGTAACAAAAAATGAGACTTGTCCAGGGGTATATCAGAATCCAAATTCTTGAGAAATTAAGAACCGTCCACCAGAAATAATTTGGAAGAAGGGTTTTTCACCATTGATAAAAAAAATTGTAGGTGGATGACACAATGGGCAATGGGGCAAAACAGGAACTAATCCAAGCTATTTTTTCTCCTGGATAGAACAAAATCCACGATCCATAACCAGAACAATGGAACACGATTCCGTGAGGGGTAGAAGGGTCAATTTCACATTTAAGCAATGACCTCCCATTAGAATATGGCGTAGGAGGGAAGAAAGGCATTTTTACTGGAATCTCCACAAACAAATAACTAATTCAGCCAGCACCCTCTTGGCCAGATGACTCCTTTACTGTTTTCTTTTCCATATTTGGCTCCAAGATGTTTACCTTACTTCGTTTAAAAACACAAACAATCCAGTTTGATCGAAGGCATCCTACCGTTAATGCCGAGTTATTTGGGGTTTAAAGGGAAAAAGTATCCGGGATCGCGTCTTCCCCCAGGCTGATGTTTTCATATCTGACAATTGAAGTTATATTAAACAGGTCAAAATATACAGACGGCAAAAATAGCCATACAGAGGTGATATATTTGGATCTAAAAGTTTAATTTAACCCAATTACTCGCGGAACCCAACGATATTTTATATGGAAGACCGAACAATGGCCAAGTGTCGTTAGTCATCGACGAGTCGATATCTGAGGCTTAATCTACAGATAATTCCTCCTTAATTACAAATATAACACGATCGACCAATTCGATAAGCAAACAACCAAGTGTTTTATTTGTAAATATAATATTTATCGTAAATAAATCTATCGTAGTTCAGCGAGGCTAAGAAAAACGTAAAACAAGATTTAAAAAGCCTATGCTTAGACATACAGCTATTATATGGTATCAATAAGTATTTAAATAATTTAAAACTTTAATGAGATCCACGGTTAATTATGCTACAGATGTATTTTTCATTCAGAAAAATTTGGGTACGACCATCTTGGGTGTCAAGTTCGTGATGAAACTACTCAAAATAGTATGCTCTTTAAGGGGTACTCTTAAATATTAGAAACAGATAAATCTAAATTGTTGATGGTGTGACAAGTTGAAGATTTCTTTCGTGGATAACTTCATTGGCGTCAGAATCGTGAAATGGCAGAGATTTAAAAGATTGCAAGTTTTAAATTTTGTTTTCTCAAGAAGATCGATTCCTTTATAAACAAATATAGTGAAGGTGGAAAAGAAAACTGGATTCTTGATTTTTTTTTTTCTAATGTATGGCTGTACATGTCCTTCTGTATACCTATATTTTCGTCGTCTGTATATTTTGACCTGTTTAAATTAAATTTTTTTAAATTAATTTTTTTTAGATATTCCCATTAGAAAATTTATTTCTGGTAGAAAAAAACAAAACAAAGGGGAAAGCTGACTGATCGTTTTAAAATTCAAATAATAATAAACCTCGGTGAACCGCTTATGGGGTTGTCCATTTACAGAAAAATTAGGTAAGGTCTTTTTTAGGCCAGAGTTTTAGAAGTCTTCAATTTCTTACAAATCAATATCAAGGATAAAGTATTTATTTATTTTTGTGGTATATTTTCTTTACATATTGCTACCTTGAAAAATACAGAACAAAGTGAAAGCACGCCAATTTTTAACATTTGGCATCGAAAATAAGCACAAAATGCAAGAACAAGTTGCTCTCCCTAAGTGAATTTTTCCATTTACAGAAATCAGGATAAGACCGTCTCGATACTTGGGTGGCAGACCTTTAACCGACAGAAATTTAACATATTGCTTTTTCTGAATTGACTTTAAACGGCCGAGTTATCGGTTACTTTTTCATCTGCTTATAAAAAAAATTTATTCAACTAAACTCGTTTTAGAAGAAATTATAAGATTTTTTTCGATCGAACAGCTAAATATTATTATATATCAAGTGAAAAGTCATTTGATTATTATATATAGTATATATTATACAGTACTATAATATAGTAATATATACTATAATAATACTTTTTCAAGNAATTTCAACGGTGCTATTAGATTTTCAGAGAAATGTTTAGATTAAAAGATATCACGATTTTCCGACGCCAGGACGTGATATCTTTCAAAATCGATAAAAAGCGAAATTACTCTGAAATGGTTGAGAATCGGACCATGGACAATATGAACTTTTTTGTTCATTTTAGGGTGAAGAATCTACTGGAGAAGTTTGTAGCACGAGTAGCAATTCACCCTGTATATATATACTACATTATACTACTATTATACATTGCTACATATATATATTATACATTAATAAAGACTTAATCATTACTAAAGACATTATTTGTCATAATTTCATAATTATTTGAAAAATGACTGTTTTAATATAGACGGGGTAGACCCTTGACCCACTGCTAAATATTTTTTTCATTTGATGTAATTTCATAATTATGTGAAAACTGACTATTTATAATATGGACGGGCATTGTATCTTGGATTAATTGTTTAGTATTACATACAACTTCTATCGCCGATAATATAATTTAACGAGCATGTTCTACTTTGGAAACTGAATAAAAAAGGTAAGTAAACAGTTTTTTAATATTTAATTGAAAATAATACCTAAAGATGTAATTAGTTCTCGAGAAACTTGATCGCTTTATACTTGGGTATCGGCATCCTTATTTCTCTTTCTAATTTGTAATTAAGCCTTGAGCAATTAAGAGTTTAATCATTACTAAAGAACGTACTTAAATTCTTACCATCAAACTTTTGGGCCCTGTTGTTTACAAGGGGGCTAAGGTTCCCAAGGGTCTGCGACAAATTGGCAGAAAATAACGTAAAAGTTGTTTTTGGCTCAACGTAATAAAAAAAAATTGCGGTTCTTTCGGTCCACTGTTAAATATCTTTTCATTTGATGTCATAATTTCATACTTATTTGAAAAACGGCTATTTACAATATGGCGGGCATTGTATCTTGGATTAATATATATCACATACAACTTTTTTCGCCGATAATATAATTTAACGAGTACGTTCTACTGTGGAAACTGAATCACAAAGGTAAAAAAACAGTTTTTAATATTTATCAAAAAATAAACCTAAAGATGTAATTAGTTCTCGAGAAACTTGATCGCTTTATACTTGGGTATCGGCATCCTTAACCGGCAGAAATTCTTCTCATTTCTATTTTCAATTTGTTATTAATCGTTGGGCAATTAAGAGTTTAATCATTACTGAAGAACTTACTTATATTCTTACCATCAAACTTTTGGGCTCTTTTGTTTAGAAGGGGCTCAGGTTTCCAAGGTTTTATTTTTTTTTTTTTTCCAACGAAATTAGTTAAATTTTTCGACCGACAGCTAAATATCTTTTCAGTTTATGTTTGTTATCATAATTATGTTAAAAAATTACTATTTACAATATTTACGTGCATTATGTCTTGGGTTAATTTTTCAGTATCTCCTACACCTTTTACCGGCGAGAAAATAATTTACTAGCGTGTTTTTTCTTTGCAAATTAAAAAAGTAAATAAAAATAAAAGGTAAATAAAAGTAAATAAAAAAATAAAATAAAAGGTGTCCAAGGGGTTTTTTTTGGTTCAACGAAATTAGATGAATTTTTCGACCGACAGCTAAATATCTTTTCAGTTTATGTTATAATTTCATAATTATGTTAAAAAATGACTATTTACAATATTTACGTGCATTATGTCTTGGGTTAATTTTTCAATATCTCCTACACCTTTTACCGGCGAGAAAATAATTTACTAACGTGTTTTTTCTTTGCAAATTAAAAAAGTAAATAAAAGTAAATAAAAAAATAAAATAAAAGGTTTCCGAGGTTTTTTTTTTTTTTTTGGTTCAACGAAATTAGATGAATTTTTTGACCGATAGCTAAATATCTTTTCAGTTTATGTTATAATTTCATAATTATGTTAAAAAATGACTATTTACTATATTTACGTGCATTATGTCTTCGGTTAATTTTTCAATATCTCCTACACCTTTTACCGGCGAGAAAATAAATTACTAGCGTTTTTTTTCTTTGCAAATTAAAAAAGTAAATAAAAATAAAAGGTAAATAAAAGTAAATAAAAAAATAAAATAAAAGGTTTCCAAGGATTTTTTTTTTTTTTTGGTTCAACGAAATTAGATGAATTTTTTCGACCGACAGCTAAATATGTTTTCAGTTTATGTTATAATTTCATAATTATGTTAAAAAATGACTATTTACTATATACATGCATTATGTCTACGGTTAATTTTTCAATATCTCCTACACCTTTTACCGGCGAGAAAATAATTTACTAGCGTGTTTTTTCTCTGCAAATTAAAAAAGTAAATAAATGAACATTATTTAATCGAAAATAATCCGAGAGATTTTGTTATTCGAGTTTGTTATTTCAAATACAACAACTCAGCCGTTTAATACGTATCTGCCTCCTTAAGCGCCAGAAATTCTCCTCCTTTCTCTTTCTAATTTCTATTTAAGCCTTGGGCAATTAAGATATTAATCATTACTAAAGAAATTATTATATTCTTACCATCAAACTTTTGTGCCCTGTTGTTTAGAAGGGTGCTCAGGTTCCCAAGGGTCTGCGACAACGTGGCAGAAAATAGCTTCTTGCTGTGGTAGCCGAGTAGCTGCTGCATTCCTTCCGAGCAGCACGGCCCTTCGCCGCACACCATAAACAAATCAACTGAAACAATAAATTATTATATTAAAACCAATTTTTTAAAAAATATATGGATCTTTCCTATCATTAGCATGGGATTAGTGTATGTAAAGTTCTCCAGGATTTTTTTCCCTCAAAAGGTATTTGTTCTTGTGGTCGTAAAAAACAAAAAGCATAAAAGAACTAAAATAAAGTACATAAACCTATCTACGGTACATTAAATAAAGGGACGAACGGTCGGTAGCGCGCGTGCGTTCGAGGTCATATAAAGAATAGGTATTTTATTATCCCGACTTTACTTATCTAATCTCTATTTTTTATTGCTGCGTCAAGTCAATACGAGATGTTGACCGATAAAGAGAAAGTAGTGACTTTAAGCCTAGGAATATTATAATTCGAAATTCAACTTTATGCATGATGACTGTTCTTTCGAGAATATTTTAAATATAGCAGAAAAACATTTTCTTTTGTTTTTATAAATAGTTTTATGACCAAACTAAACCCGACTTTAAATGCCATAAAAGCTCTGGCCAGACGATCAAATCGCTTTTTTATAGTTTAATCGACCGTAATAAACAAAACAAAAACGGCTATAAAATGTAAATTTCGTTTAAAAAGATATTCACGACAATCTGTCGGTAAGTGTAGAAAATAGGAAAAATCTTTTAACTACGATTATATAAATTTATGGGAAATGACTAGTATAAATTAAAAATAGTCAATTCACACTTCAGTTGGATCATTTTTTATGTTAACAAGACTTATAAATTGTTAATTGTTACAACCAGCACAATACCTCATCAAAATTTCTCTTTCTCGTCCATACAAACATCGATTTTAATATTTTTCAAATAATAAGCAAAATCGGTGAAACATCTTCCAGAAGCAACTAAAAATCGGGTGGAAAGCACAACCTACAATCCGAAATACTACAAAATTGTTCATTATATTGAATGGCACAATTACAGAGAAAACAAACATTTTTAGTGAGTAGAAATACTTTGATTGAATATAAAAAATATATTTTGCATTGTATAAATTCACCTTTTTCCACATCCTATATGTATTTGTTAAATTTAAACAATGTTTGTAAATCCCAGGCCCTGAAGATGATCTCAATAAAGGTCGAAACGTTGGCACGATAAAGAAAATGTTTTTCTGAAGCCTACATCACACCAGACCGCATCTCAGACCAGACCGATTTCTAAATAATATTGTTCATTATTCACTCGGTTAGGAGTGCGATAAAGTAGAGAAAACATCAGAAACCACCAGGCTTGGTCGGACTATCGAGTCTTATGCTGTGAAGAACAAAAACAAAAAACCGTGCGTTTTTGGTCTGCTTATTTTTGCCATACTCTTCTTGGGCTTTCCTCATAGAAGGGAGAAATTTCAGTTAGTCTTTTTAGCTTCTTGAGCGCACTAAGTAAGGTTTTTTGAACAATGTACCTTGCCCATCGCCTCTCTTTTTAACATTGGAGTCCATAATCATCAAAGATGAAAACTATATATATATATATAGAGAGAGAGAGAGAGAGAGAGAAAGAAAGAAAGAAAGAGAGAGAGAGAGAGAGAGAGAGAGAGAGAGAGAGAGAGAATGTTAGATATATAGAGATAAATAGATAGAGATTATATATATCTATCTTTCTTTCTCTACATTGTCCAAATTGATCCAACTATGACGAAAATTATTGCATATTTAGAGCAGAAAAAGAAAAAAACCTTGAGTTCTTAGTATTTGAGTTAAATTACTCAAAATTTTGTATGTAGTAATGTGTGGTGATTAGTGACCGTTAGTCCATAATTATTCAGAAATCGTGATTTGATTGAATATAAAAAATATATTTTTTTGCTTTGTATAAATTCACTTTTTTCCACATTCTACATGTATTTGTTAAATTTAAACAATGTTTGTAAATTCCAGGCCCTGAAGATGATCTCAATAAAGATCGAAACGTTGGCACGATAAAGAAAATTTTTTTCTGAAACCTACATCACACCAGACCGCATCTCACGATTTCTGAATAATTTTGTGTGTAGTCTTTTACAAGTTGAGGACATTTCAGCTTTATCTAAGCTCAGAATTCAGTGATGGCTAAAAAAGGCCAGACGTGAAACCTGATCAGTCCAAAAGGCAATAATCGTTCTAGTAGGGCTGTTAAGGCGTTTAATTTTATTTTAAAAAGCTGCTGCTCAGTGTTGTGTATCGTCGAGAGTTTGTTCACCCACTCTCTTCCTCGTTGTTGTTTGCAAACAACATTCATCAGTGGGGAGGCTTTTGTTTTTGTTCCGACCACCAAGACCAAACAAGACGTCAATTTAACAGGATGTAAAAGGAAGAAATCTGTCCACCGTTGATTTACGGCGATTTGTAAACAAAATCTTTTCTAGGCTTCGGGGAAAGGATTGAGGTTTTTTTAAACCAGTCTTCGTTATTGTCTTCTGCCATGGAAGAGGCTTGACACAGATCTTTGACGCTTTAAGTGCCTCCTCGAGAAAAGCTTTGATAGGTGAATTTTAAATAAGCGCCTTCTTTTAAATCACTTGTTTAAAAAAAATATTTATAAATGAAGTAATCTGAGAATAGCGTGGAACTGGCTTAAAACGATCGATAACGAAATATTCATGAATATTCATCGTGACAATTGACGGGTTCCAAATTCAAACAAACACGGCAACAAACACGCCAAGAACCACCACTGCATTAACAAAATTCCTTCAACTTCTTCATTTCTTTAACATCCACCAGCTGCGATTTTTTCCTTCCTCGCATGTTTAACACGATCAGTATTTAAAAAAATTAAAAATTAAAAAAACGTTTACGACCTTCTTTCCCAAATCCCTCAAATTAACGATGCGATAAATTTTACGACTTCTTGTGAAGATTTCTTCATCGCATTATGACTTCAAGTTAGCTTTAATAACGAGACAAACATCCTCCTCGTAATCTCTTTTGGAAAATCCATCACACGCAGGAAATACGGGACGGGAAATAAAGATTGACACGACTATTTGTTAACACACCCCCTTGGAATTAATTTATCAATTTCAGTTCATTTACGACGATCAACCCGTTTGAAATTTATTTATTTTTTTAAATCGAAAAGCTACGATTATAATTTTTCAACAGTGATATCTCAGTTTTTATGAGTAATTTTTAAGACGGTCTAATCTCCAAGGTTTATTGTGAAAAAGTATTATCAGCTCGTTGGATTATCTGCAGTTCCGGCATCATCCCTGAAATTATCTCACTTCAATCTTAATAAACACAATAAATCAATTATAATACAATAATTGGATGTAATTTTATTTAAATGTGACAAAATAACAGGGTATTTGTACGTTAAGCCCAATGGAAAGTCGTGGGAAGAGTTTAATTTCATTTTTCATAATATTCCAGGCCCAACGGCTTTCTTTCTCACGCGAATTAAAATCCAATAAAGTCTTCTACGACGAGAAAAAATGTCTCGAAGGAAATAAAAGCTTAATGAGTCAAACCTAACGAATATCAACCTTTCACTCACAACGAAAAAACCTAATAGAATTTTTAACAAAATAAATACAACATTAATTTTTCGGATTTAATTTAATTATTCGGAAATCGTGAGATGCTGTCTGGTGTGACGTAGGTCTCAGAAAAACATTTTCTTTTTCGTGCCCACGTTTCGATCTTTATTAAGATCATCTTCAGAGCTCAAAGTGTTAGTTTTTCTGCATAATTGTGCCATTCTTGCGTGTCGTGTTGAGAGTGGACCCACCACACATTAATTTTATTGATTAATTCGATATTTCGCCTATAACATATACTAGATGAAATCACAGACTTACTATTATAGATGGTGGAAAGCCGAAACGAATCAAGCCAGTATCAAAATCAATCATGCATTCCTGGATTTTTCATATTAGATGACAATGAGAAGTTTATACAAATATGTTGTGAAGATTGCAAAATTTTTAAGGATATCTTCATTTCTTATAGGGTTCTGGGGGGGGGGGGGTGATGAACCTGTAGATTGGTTGTGTCTTTTAGTTCTACTGATAGCCCGACAGACCAAAATTATCGCAAACGACGAAACTTGTTTGTTTGAACGATGTGAAAATTTTGTAGATATGAAAGGTCAATGTTTATGAGAATATTACGATTATCAATGTCAATAATATAATTGTTATTAAACATATTGTGAATTTTTCGATTTACAAAGGAATCATTCAAAAATTATGTTCAAATGTTTCGATAACATGACAAATGATATGTACTTTAACGCTCAAATTTAAACGGAAATCGCACTGAAAAATGAGGTTCTTTCGTTTTTAAAGCAAGTTTAAAAAAATCTAAATATATTATCAGGTCTTACGTATGTTTTCATATTCTATGAAATTTAACATAAATGATATGTAAAATGTTGTGGATATTTGTTTTTCTATTAATTGAATTACCTTAGCGTGGCTCTCGACTCGGAGACCCCCCGCGGTCATGAGTTCGATTCCCACCACCCCCTGGAATTTCTAACCCTGACCCCCAAAATTATTCTGATCATTGTCTAGCACTCTGGCTAACAAGCAAGAACGAAAGCCATAAAAGAATACAGAGTAATAAAGCCACAAAAATATGTTTAAAAAAATTGACTGTACGAAAATACTAAATTTACTATTAAAATACTAAATACTAAATGGCTAAAGAAAGCCAAACTATAACTGTTTTTCCTAGTAACACATAATTTATAATGTTTTTTGCTGATGTGTCAATTTTCTATGAAGTGAGGTTTTATGGTTACGCTTTAGTCCGAAACAGACATTAAAAGGTTGATGTGTTAAACGTTGAAGGGCAAAATAAATTGAAACGATAATAATTGCATGGCTTTACTTCAATTAACGCTTTAATTTTTAAACTTACTCAACAAGTTGTGGTCATTGGACGTGAAAATATTAAATAATTACGTGAGATCCATCATTTATATGCCTCAATCCGCGACTTTGTCCCTATTCTCGCCTGTCAACACTCACTTTGTGGATTGGACACAAAG